ACGATGGACGGAGCGACTGGTCTGACGAGGATGATGTAGACACGATGACGGACGACTATCGTTCTCCCCCGCCGCGATCCCGGTCTCGTGCTCTGTCTGACGCTCGTGAACGAGAAGAACAGCGCGCGCGTGAATTGCAGCGGGACCGTATGCGGGACGAAACAAAGCGTTCGCGACTTCGCTGTGTTCTTCCTCGGCAGCAGCAGCAGCAAGTGACCCCGGTGGCTGAGTTGCACCCGCACCGGTTGTTCGCTGTCACACACAGTGCTCGGACGTCGCCCATGACAGCAGCAACGCCGCCACGAGCCATCTATGCTGACCATGGTGGACACGGACACGGACAGTGGACTCCGCCGCGGGTTGCTCTTCCCCGCTTCGCTGAGCTCGAGCGCTGGTCGTGCCACGCCCCGCGGCCAGTTTTACCCGAGCCGAACTCGCACCTCCAACATCAGCCTCGCAGGGCTGTGTTTGCGAATGCTGGTCCGCCGGGTGTGTCTGGTTATGCTTACGCCTATTGAATGCTATTATCCTTATAACCTTGACGCTTCTGCCTTGTCCATCATTGCCTATTGCATGCCTACTGTCTTACCTACATAAAGTCCTTACTACATTCCATAATACTCTTTTGCTCCTGCAGCACTATTGTTAGCGTACATACTTGATGTAAGTCATGAGTAGCTGTTACGATGCGTTGGCGTCGTGTTCTTCTGTTGAGAATGTTTCTCCCATGTTCCACTAGAACGCAACCTCTCGACCAGGACACTGTCCTGAAATGGCAACAACATACTCGCTCTTAATGGGTTTGTGGCGTGATCGAAGGAGTTCTTCACTCCGCGCACTAGGCTTTGTGGAACTGATTCAATCAGTCAGCTCGGTGGATTCAACCGGTTTGGGGTCGGAAGATCACGAAGAATCAATCCATCCCAGGCGAATCAGAGATATGAGGGGAAGTAGTTGGGGCAATGAGATGTGATTAGAATGCACCTGGTTCATTCAGCAAGGTCACGGCCTATGCATGCTGTTCTCTCCCCGGAGGTCAATTTTCCGACGCGTAGCGTGATCGGAGAAGCTGCATGTGCCTTGCGAGCACTCGGATGTGGTAACCAGCCAAGCAACGAGGTCCTAGTGGAACTGATAGACAGCCACTGATCGATCATTATCGTTCCCATTCACCACAACTCCAAGAACTTATTAGCAGCACTCGGCTCAGGTTTCTTTGTGCCCCTAATTCTGTGATCGAATCCCATTTTGTGTGTGAAGATGTGCCTAATTTTGCCGTAAATTCAGTGACAATCACTATTTGATCGAAACAGAGTTGAGCACTTTTCGGGGCTTGTGATGCCCGAACTGGTTCAAGTTGACTTGGTTCTGCCGAGCGCGGTTCAAGTTCCGGCCGCAAACCAGTTGCATTTGTAAGGCCCCTGCGCACGATTACGGCTACTGCGTAGGAAGCAAGCAATGCGGGCGTGCTCCCCGAACGATCTATCGATAAGGCAGACCGTGATTGCAACTGTCAAGTTTCGGTTGGCCTCCGCGCGGAAATGATCTAAGCGGAGAGAAATGTAACACTGCCCCCTACGCCCTTGGAGTGAGTAAAAAATATTGTCCAAATGGACAATTGCGACCGGCAGGGAAGTTGCCCCTCTCATTCCCGTGGATAGTCTGGAGCCTTGAGGAAATAATAATGCATTTCAGGGTAAAGGTTCAAATTATCAAGCTTTGAGGTATCCCTGATAATTCACCGTGAACATATCGATTAGCAAAATTTTGAGAAACCGGTTCTTCTTCGCCTGTGCCTTGGAGAATATCTTCGGCGGTTTTGAGTTGATCGAATAGCTGCGAAGCGCATCCTTCGAGGGATGCTTGAGCACAGTTTTCCCCGTACGCTTAGCATCCAGGAGGTCGTAGATGTTGACCCAAGTGTTTCTCATAATCTGGAGCAGGGGTCAGTGAGGCGTCAGCCTGGAAGGATGTAGCGCACAGTTTTGCATTTCGCGATTGAATCTGGCGCCTTTTTGACACCGACGGTCGCGCACAAAGCCTGCCACCCCGCCAACCGGTTCTCATCCTTCCCAAACTGATACCCGAACTCCTGGATCCCGCAGAGCCCCCATTGATCTTTGAACATGCGACTCTTTTTGCCCCAACCCTCCTCGCGTGCCAGACGTTCGAATTCCTGCCGGAGCGGGACGAATGGATCGTGTTCGAAATCGGGGAAGCAAAGCCAATACGATGACATTGTGTAGGTTGGGAGCCTTGTGTACGACTGAGTAAGAATGGTGAAGGAATCATGTGGACGGCGTTTGACTTCAAGTATGGACCAAGCCTGGACACACGGGTGCTTCGACTGACTTTTACTTTCAATCTATTGCCACTCACGTCAATTATCTGGACGAGGGACGTCGCCGCTGTCCACACCTCGCCGATCAATTGTGCAAAATCGAAGAGGGGCGTTCAAGGTTTGGCTTGATGACTTGGACCCACGTAAAACTCTAATTAGCAGAATTTCAAAGTATATAATTGCCGGGAAGTAATTTACATACGGGGTGTCTTCATCGGACAATTAGTCGTGGGTATGAATCGGCGTGGTGTTCTGACAAGGTATCGTGATTTGCAATGGTTTCGGTATTTTGGTTCGCGGTATGTGGCAGATATCGAGATATCAGGCCATTCATTTGTTTACAATCCAAAATGCGCATCGGCAAACGCTGGTTAGGGAGGGAAGGGCTCTGAGTACGTGGATCCTATGGGGAGATTGGCTGGCCCGGATTGCAGCCAAACAACGCGGTGAAACCTTCTGCAGGATACTAGGGTGGCAACTGCTGCGAGGCTAGGCAAGAGCACACCGTGGTAAGTACGTTAAAATTGACTCTCTAGTAAAGGACGATGTCTAGGGACCGCGTTGAAGAACCCTAGTCCTTGTCAAACCGGCCTGAGGGATAGACCGTCTTGAGTTGCAGTCGGATAAGACGCCAGCGCTCGTTTGAACCCGATTAGAGACCTTTTCAGCTCTTTGCAACTCATCGGGATTCCTCTCTGGAGGTACGCAGAGTCACAGACAGACTGCCTGTTCTCGTGGTTCTTTCAACCTCTCCTACCGCCAGAGCTGCTTCTGAGGCACTGAATTACGCAATCGCCATGTCTGAACGCACAATATTCAACCCTCACTGTGGGTAGAGACTCTTCGAGCAACGCCCAAGTACGTCCAGACGTCTACATCATCGTCGAACAGCTCACCATCTGTGACAGTGAGACCTCGCTATTCATTGCTTGAGATGCGCTTGAGCAGAGAGTGTAATTGCTAAGTGAGTGAGTTGTATTAAGACGCCCTGTGAGAACGAAGAAGTCTCTGGATTGAGAGTTCAATCCTGTCATAAAAATGCGGCGGCTATGCAGCCGTGCAATTTCAATTGTCCCGAATTCCCGACTGCGCTGCAAATGACTCGCAGCCTGGGCAACTACTTCGCTACGTTTCAGCTTTCCTGACGTCTCAATCAGCGCAGAGATTATCTAGTGGGACAGAATTTTCCGTAGAAACATCCGCTTATACACCGACGGACATCCACGGACCGACAACTAGACGTGCGCACTGATGACAAGCGTGTACAACCCTGACAACAATAGTTTTCGCAGTGATTTTTCTACTCGGGAAATTCCGTGGGGCCTGACTGCTTGACGTCATTTGGAAATGTCGCCTGATCGGACGGACAAGTCTTCGAGGGGCAAAATCACGACAAATCCACAACGGCCTCCGCACGGCGCAGAGCTGTAATAAGCCATAAAAAGGACTTGCAGGGATTCGAACGCGGGTCCTCACGGTGGAATTTCAAAACATGAGAGCAACCAAAAGGCCAAGTGACTTTCAAGTTTCATTTCTGAGATTATTATCACGTCTCCCAGCCTGTGCACAAGTAACTACCACTGCGGGGGGACTTAATTTTTTTCCGTGGAAAATGCGTGACAATCTAGAAGTCCGATTTTCACCGTTATGTTTTCAGACAAAATATATATATTGAAAATAGACGTCGATTTACAGCTCGATTTTTACCATGAATAGACATCTATTCCTCCCGAAAACAGAACTGTAAATAGATCATCTTTTTTTGATCGATTCCCACTGGGAATAGACGTCGATTTTCACTGAAAATATAGACAAAGAAAAGATGATCTTTTTTCACTGAAAACAGATTAAAGCCACTGGAAGAATCTGTTGATTCCGGCCCCAATTCGCATCACAAGTCCTGCAGCATGATTCCAACATGTTGTGAGTAGCACCCAGTAGCCTTTTGCAAGGCCAGGGATGCAAATTGGGGCCAGAATCAACAGATTCTTCCAGTAGCTTTAATCTGTTTTCAGTGAAAAAAGATCATCTTTTCTTTGTCTCTATTTTCAGTGAAAATCGACGTCTATTCCCAGTGGGAATCGATCAAAAAAAAGATGATCTATTTACAGTTCTGTTTTCGGGAGGAATAGATGTCTATTCATGGTAAAAATCGAGCTGTAAATCGACGTCTATTTTCAATATATATATTTTGTCTGAAAACATAACGGTGAAAATCGGACTTCTAGATTGTCACGCATTTTCCACGGAAAAAAATTCAGTCCCCCCGCAGTGTACATAGAATTTTACAAATCTGAAATTACACTGACTCGGACTCGAACCCGTACCGGGCAGTCAGCCATGTGACCTGCACCGTGCGGGGGTCGTTGTGGCCGAATCGCAAAATGACGATCAGGGAACACCGCTCACCACGGCAATTTCAGAACGAGTCCACCTCCCGCACAGAGTTTAGAGTTCCAACTGAGAAATTGTTTCGTATCCAAGACGCGCTCCAGCAGTGCTGACCTGCCGCTTGATGAAATGCATTTCAAGACGAGTTGGTTTGCTTTCGACCCCGTATAGAGCGCGAAGCCGATTTCATAAGTGCTTCAGTCTTGACTTCAACAGATCGTTTTGCTTTTGGCCCGGTAAGACGAAGTAAAGTAAGTAGTCGAGTGAGCTTTCATAAAGATTACGCGAGGGTACATTATCTAATCTAATCCGATCAACGGGCCGAGGGCTGTGCCATTTTTCTACTTGCTTCTTTTTCGCTCATATGGGTATCGAGACACACTGACCGAGCGCAGAGCCAGGAATGTGATGCACCTGCACAACTTTCCATCCTGCGCATGCGGCCAACGCAACGAACTGCGGCAATGTTCGTTCCTGACTGTTTCCGAGTACGAACATCTGCGAGACGCGTCATTCCCCTGGTCCCGACGTCTGCACAGTCATCTCTCACCTGCATGTCCAGCCAGTACTTCATGTTATTTGCTGCCCCCATGTTCGGCAGCAGCGGGCCCGGTGCAGATGGAGTGAATGCCCCCGGTATGTCGTAGTGCGAATCCTGCTCATCATCGATGCAGGTATGAGGCATGAGGATATCAACGGTGACGAGTTTCGTGCTACTTGTCGCTGCCTCGCGCAAGTTCTGGAGGATCTCCCACGCTTTAGTGTCGTCGTAATCGTGCATGATCCAGCGCAACAAGAACACGTCTGCGTCGCGGATGGGTTGGGCGGAGAAGAAGTCGTGCTCCTGCAGCCTCACGCGGCCGCTTGCGATCATCTCGTAAGGCCAGTACTACAGGACGCTCTTCAGCACGCTGCAATCACGGATTAACACAAGCGAGCGAACCTTGTGCGCGACGGAGATGACGGAGGTGCGGTCCTGCACCACGAGATTCAGGTGGGGGACGTTCTTCGCGATGATGAGAGAAGTCGCGCCGACTCCGCCGCCTACGTCGACGACTGTTGCGCTCACGGGCAGCTTCGTCCAGTCAAACCCAGCGAGTATCGCAGCGGGGGGCTCCAGACGGGTGCTGCATGCCATCGCCGAGGAAAACCGGACCTTGAGGTGCGCCTTCTTCGGCTTGTCATAGTAGTCGAAGATGAACATGTTTGTCTGGAACGCAATGTTCCATGGAGAATCGGTCGCTTGAGTTGAATGCGCGGTGCATGGAGACAGGAATGCTTCGGTAAGGAACGCGGAGGACTTGAGCCCTTCGTCCGCGCTGCAAAGTGTGAGTGCCCCTCGCCACAAGACTAGCGTAGGGAACTGACTGCATGACTACTAGTGCGGCGACTCCAGATGAGTTTTCGTACCGGGCCTGCGGACTGGAATTTGGGGTGAGTCTAATACGTACGTCCTCGAACTCAACGTGAACTGACTTGGCATCCAACTTTTCCAAGGACTTGCCAGAATCAAGCACTGACGATAATCGATTCGTACAGAAAACATCCCGTCGAATTTCCCGAAAAACGTGGTGATTTGCAAGGAGGCGGAGAATGCGGCCTTTGAGCATGTAAATTCGTCATCTCCCTGCTATGAGAATCACGGACCCAGTTTCTGCGGGGAAGTCCCATTGATCCTTGCGATGTCATGTATATGGATGCCCTGATATCCGTATTCATATATGCTCACTGGAAAGACTGTTCGTACACACATACCTTGGGCCCAGCTCTTCCCACAATCTCGACGACGTTGCTCTCGATTGCTGCACGCAAACACGATGGAAGGTGGTACTTGTGATATATGTCAGTGTCTTTTTCCTGTGTCAAATATCAATCTGGATACTCACTAGCATACTGTACTCCATGACAGTCTCTACCGGCGTCCGGACCATCGCTATCATCTGCGAGGCCGCCGCCACGATTTGTGACACCGCGGAGAGCATGTCCGTTTCACGAAGGACGGATTCTGCCTCTGTGTGCGGGTCGAATGGGGTCGCGAGACTGGGAAACGCCAGGTTTCTCGATGCGAGACGGGTCTCTATGCTGTTCACGGAGTTGAGCAGAAGGTCGGCGAGCGTTCTGAGTTGGGATTTCGTAGCCATGACTGTGAACAATAGAGTATCTCTCGGGCTGAGAATTTATACCAGACTGGGTCGCAGATTAACCGAATTCTGATTCATATCGCAAATGAAGTGTCGTGCTTGCGAAGGAGGGAACTGAAGATCCCACGGTGTCTTCTCCCGTGCAAGATCGAGGACGAGATCGCCTCTGACCAGCCTTTGCGACCCACACACGAGGGATCTCACAAGACAGGAGATCATTCGCTCCGTGTCAAAGCTAGGACATCGAACGATAAGCTCGCCGCCCACTCAGGCTTCAATCGGAAATTCAATCGTCAGGCTTTGAGCTGTGAGAAGAGACATGTGATGTTATTGAAAGGGCCCGCTGGAATAGGTCTTGTTTTTGTACTCCTCATGGTTCAGATAACGATGTGTTACTCCACGCGAAGGTCAAAACAAAATGAACGTAGCTGGATATGATATCAATGAGGCTCAGGGTCCTATCTCTTCTCGCGGCGGGCTTCCGGGCTTCTACAAGTTTTCGGATGCAATCCCGCATCAGTCAGCTCAACTCCGCATGCACAAAATCTGGCGTCATAGCAGGCACGTGGAGTGCACCTGTTCGTCTTCGAATCGATAAGTCCATTTAAATAGATTTCCTAGGGGACTCATCGGGTTGCTTGTGATGCCTACACAAAGAGAAGTGTGAGACAAACAAGGATCCGAGTTGTGAGACAGGGTTCAGTCGTTTCCAAGACGCTATTCCCGCTTTCCTTCTGCCATCCGCAACCCTACCCAATGCCAGCATTGTTCAGTACACCCTCCATCGCCGCCGCCGCCGCGCAACAGTCCGCATCGACCGCAGAACTTCATCGATACCGTTATCAGAGCTGGGAATCGCAACTGATCTGCCTCTTCATAATATTAGGATTCGTAATGATGTACACCTTGGCGACGTGTCTATATGAGTGGCACACCCAGACGACGAGGGTGGGGACAAATCGATTCGAGGGGATCGGTGAGTTGTTGTTCTAAACAGAAGATAAGAGCAACCCTGTTCATGTTGTGTTCAGACCAGTTCCTCGCCAAGATTTCATCGACAACGAGGCCGCAGGTACCCGGGTCTTAGATATCAAGGGTTCTCGTTGCGAGTGGGAGCCATTCCTGCCTGGTTACTCAGTCGCGTCATTTAGCGTTCTCAGAAGTACGCTTATTGTGTGCTGAAAATCTCAACGCGCCTATCTTCCGGTGTGCCGATTATGAAACCCCATATTCGACGCGAGGGTCATCATAGCGCATCACTCGTGACCGTGTGGTAAGAAACCCGTGATCATGAGATTCCTCTGCTGCGCGACGGCATCTTCTTTTCTCCTCTTGTGACTTAGCCCCATCGCACACGTAAAAGCCCTGGTCATGGGGAACCCCAAACCGAAATCCTCTGAATGAAAGCTGTGTTCCTCGCTCGCATGACTTGTCCCCGACGCGGACCTTAATGTAGACGCCAGCTTTTTTTTTACTCCACTCACTTTGCGTCGACGACCATGCCCATCTCCGTTGCTCTCACTCTGGCTCTGGTCTCCTTTGTGCACTTGGCTGTTTCCCAAGATTCGCCGTACCCTCAGTGTGCTCAAGGATGTGTCAAGATTCAAGCGACGCACGCAGGATGTAATCTGTACGCCTTGCTAATCTCGTGGTTTTTCCACACCTGTCTCAATCTGAAGTACAGATCTGACGTCGCCTGCCTCTGCAAAACTGGATCGTTCGCGTCAGCTGCACAGCAGTGCGCAGACGCAACGTCGTGCTCGGCCAACGACAAGGCCCAGCTCAGCACGGCACTCCAAGTCCTATGTGCTGCAGGTGTGTGTGCGCTCTTGCCGTATGCGTCGACCTATTCACTATCACCATACCAGTGTCAGCGTCTGCTGCCCAATCCACATCCATCTCAGGATCTCCATCGTCTTCTGCCTTGTCAGCCTCTGGCAGTAAAAGTGACCGTTTACACAAGCAGCTGATTGAACGTCGCTGACTTGGACTGCAGGTGTTACCAGCGTCCCTTCGACAACCCTCGGCGCATCGAGCACGACTCAACTTACGACAGTTTTCACACAGTCCCTGCTCACCACGACGGTCACCACCGCATCGCCTCCGCAAACAGTTACGCTGACGACCCTCGTGCCAACCACTGCTGCAGTGATTCCCACCAGCAACAGCATCGGCAGCAGCACGATTGCACTCTCATCGCTACCGAGTTCTAGCCTCTTTCTCTCTCCCACACCCACGAACGTTCTTCCCTCGGTCTCTGTGTCGCCATCAGCTCCATCGGCCTCAGCCTCTGGGGCCGCAGACAAGGTTGTGCTCGGTGTGGAGATGATAGTCATGGCCCTGTCTGTCGTTGTACTCTTCATCGCTTAGTGATTTCTCGATCGCCCAAAGCGAGTGGTTATGTATCATTTACACACAGGTAGAATCACACAGCCTTGAACCGGTATTTCTTCCTTGCCTGAGCCTCTACAAGACCTGGCACCATCCAGTACGCCAAATGCGCCAAGCCCATAGACCAGGGCATAAACACGTTCTTTTCGCCACGCTCAATCGCAGTCATACAGCGTCGGGCCACAGCCTCTCGCTTGAGCCCGCTCTTGTTCGGTTCTGCTTCGCGCGTGTGTCCGCCATCGACTGCTGAAGCGCGGAAGTCGCCTTCGACAGTGCTCGGGAGGAGCCGAGTGAATGCGATACGCGGGTGCTCGATTGAGAGGGCTTGATACAAGAGCAACGAGGCGGACTTCGTAGAGGCGTACAATGACCGGGTCGGTGCGGGTATCACTGAGGCAAGCGAGTTGACGAGGAGGATTGACGGGGAAGGCGAAGTGGATTCGAGTAGTGGGATCTGTCGGAGGGGTGTCAGTGGATGAAGGACGGCTTGAATAACGAAATGACGCACGAAAGTCACCGCGGCGACGAGTGGGCCGACGAAGTTGCCGTCTGCCGCCCGTTTCGCGATGTCTACGATACGGTGTATGCGCTCGACGTCGAAATCGCCGTCGGCGGAATCTCCTCCGACCTCCATAAGTGGACGCAATGCCGAAACACCGGCAGCCACAATGACTGTATCGAGACCACCCCAAGCTTGCAGTTGGAAGCTTAGCTTGAGTGCTCAAGCGTCCGATGGAGTGAGTATAACGCACCTCGCACGATCTCGTCCCGCACCCGCACCATCGCCTTTGGATCCACAAAATCACCCGGTACCCCGATAACCTCTGTCACCGTGCGCATGCTAGAGCACTCATCTACGACTTCTGCAACAAGCCCTTCTCGGCGCCCGACAATACACAGGTTGCGTACGCCAAGTCCAGCGTATTGCCGTGCAAGGGTGCGCCCGATACCGGACGTCGCGCCAATGATGAGTACGCGTTCAATATGACTAGGAATTTTCTTCGAACGCTTGGAGTTGCGTCTTCGGACTACCAGGAGTGGTAGAACTAAAGCGGGCAGGGCCAGGAGAAGCCAACGTGGAACAGATAGCGACATGATCGAGGAGAGCGTGACAGCGTTGAATGTAGGCCATCAGACTGACGTAATTTGTTATTTGCCATGGACCATATCCTTCTATTGATGGTGTACAAGAACTGGATGCCCGAGACTGAGGACTGAGCTTCAAAGTACACCTACTTCGTAGCGTCGTCAATTATTTGCCTTACAGCCCGCCAGGCTTCCAGCAACTTCGAAACGTGGCGTTTCGGTCCAGCAGTACGACAGACACAGTGCACGATAGAACTACCGACCTTTCTGAACCCGGTACAAGTCCGCTTTCTACTACTGAGGTATGCGCCCCCGATGCATCGAAATTCACCACACGAATTGATCCGCACAGGTTTCGGTCGTACACCATGTTGACCGCGCGGAGACGCACAGCTTCGTAAGTGCAATGCAACACACATCCCAGCCGAAGAAAGATGCAGTTAGCCTTTCATTGAGGATGAGGGAGGCAAAGTGCGTTCTGGCACCTCCAAATTTAGTAGATTTGGTGTCCTGTAGCGCATTCCGGAGGAGCGCGCAGGATGGTGGGGAAGATGGATCGATAGACCAAGCGGGGTGAATCGGATGTAACACTTGATTGCTCTAGAATGTCTGTATGTATTGTGCACTGCTCTCAATAGGAAGACGAAATGTTCATTTGGGGGGAAACATTACGGCTTCCGGGAGTGAATGTACTCCGGCCGGATAGTGATGCCGATTATCATTACTAAGAGCAGAAACTCGCATTGCAGAAACCAATGAAAGTCTAGTGAATGGAATTCATGCCTGCGAGGAACAAACGACTGAGATTTCGGACCGGGAGGAGTCAATTAAATGCAACATCAGGTCAGTTTCTGGGTAACGACTCGTGAATTCTTCCGCTCAAGTTCTGAGATGAATATTCCAGGTAAAAAATCGTAAAATGGAGACATCCTCACTCGGACAGATCGAGCTACACAAATGTTTCGATGAACATAGTCTGGCCATGAAGAATGGTGATCGTCCCGCCGAACGACGATAGTCGCGCATCGCTCACCCGCTCCGGGAAAGCCCCTGGGCGGAAAGATGCGATATCCAGATCGTCGCGGCCCAGAGTGGACACATCTAGCAGCCTCGGGCATTCGCTCTCCGGGTCCAGGGCGTATGAAGAATAAGACAACGCCGGATCCTCGACCATTGCAACCGTTTTGACCGGTGCCGTTCGATATTTCAGTATCCCATCCGTGACCGACACGTAGAACGTGAACACTGCAGCATGTGACTCGGCAGCATTGTTAGACAACGAGCCGTAAATCAAGATCGTGTAGGCGTTATGGCGGAGGGGGTTCATTCGCATATGCAGCAGCAACTGCTCAGCATGATCGAAGTCGTACTTCTGTTCATGGGTAACAAGCGTTTTGCGGCAGACTGCCTGGTCGACATCAAGCTCGAGACTAGGCATGGAAGCTAGTGCGATATCTTCGCTGGAGAGAGGATTGAACGGTCTCCAGTGGCCACCGAGAACGTCGACGGAGAAGATGAAGAGCGTCGCGTGATGTGGCTTGACCGGAGAAGCCATCAGCAAGATCATGTGTCTGGGAACAAAACTAACGTCTTGGGCCTGAGTTTGTCAGAGGGTGGATTGAGGGTGACGAGTCAGAGACATACATAGCTTGATGGCTGAGTTTTGATAATTACGCACAACGCAAGCCTCCAGTTTACGACCAAGATCGCTTCCTTGGCCGCGTCGTTGAAAGCGACGCCGATTAGATCCTGATGAAGTACAGGGTACGAGCATTGTCGGGGTCCGATCACAAGCACCACGTTGAGAATCTTCTGCTGCTGCAAGACGGAACTAGAGAAGTCCAGCCTCCACATCTCAAGGCCTCTTAATAGATAGTGAGCTGCAGAGAAACTCGCACAGGTGGACATAAAACTCACGTCCTTCTATCGTCCACCCTCGACAATATTACCAGATTAATTACCCTACCACCGATCTCCATCTTCTCCGTGTAATAAACCAAGTCTCCGCTCCATGTCCACAGGACCTCACCAGAGAGTGCATCGATGCATCGGAACTCGTGTACGCTGGTCAGGAACGCATAGTTGCCGCCTGGAACAAGTCGGACCTGCGTGTGCTCGGCTTCGGCAAGAGAAATCGATGGGAGGCTTATAGATCTTGCAGGAACACAGCGAGCCTGAGGCGATGAACCTACAGCCCATGATGAGGGTCCACGCGCAACGCGGCGCGCCTCAGCGATGAGCTCTGGAACGGAGAGCTGTTCAAGAGCCAAGGGCGGAACGACGTCCGTCAGATTGCGCGCTATGATGTCCGCGTTAAGCGTCATCCACACTTGCTTCGAGCGAGCAAGGGTGTGGAAGAGTTTGTTGACCTGCAAGATGAAAATTGGTCGATAAATATATATAGTTATTGGACGCACGGATGACAGTTGGAGCACGGCATGGGCATCGCAGAAAATCAGTATTAAGATTAAGATGTCTTCATTGAGGCGGTCAGTGATCGGGGCGATATCCATATGTGCGTGAGTGGCCGTGGTCAAGGATAAGCGCAACGGAGGCGGCACAGCCTGCGATGAAGTGTCACACAGATCTAACCATGTTGATCTGTCACGATGAGTGACTTCAATTAGGCAGTGGGCTGCGCAAATCCAGCAGGAAAAGGGGTCAAATACGGGGGAATGTGAAACTTGAGGTTCGAGTCCTCGCAGGACCGTTCTTCTTGTGTCACAAAGTGTGCGAAGATAGGGACGTATTCGATTACATCTCCCGGAGGTTAGGGTGCAGGGCTTCAAGCGGCCGCGACAATTGGAGGAAGTACAGCTGATGATCACAGAGAAGTAGCTTACCTGCGCAAGTTCCGGTTTCTCCCTCGGCAGGACGAGGATATTCTCGGCGTGGATTGATTCTTCAACGTTTTCCGGGAGTAATGAGACTCTTTTTGAGCCACCATACCTCTTCTTTTTTCAATTCGTGTGAAGTGCGATGTCGAACGGCTCCTGTATATTCGCACACTGGTCCGCCGATGGGATTTACTGCCTGGTGCATGTAATCTCGTTTCTTTCTTTTTCGCGCAGCAACGATTCGGGCTTTTCACTGCTAAGACCGCCCTTGAAACTCTCTGCTGTACGTCGCCCAGTTCTATCCACCTCGAATGCTTCTGCTTCCCGGGCTATCCCGCGTACAACTAGAGAGGGCATACATCAGTCCTTTCGCACTGCGGGCCTATGCAACGACAACATCTCCGGCTCAGTCAGGCGAAGCATTTCAGAACAGCTACCGTATTTCATGATCCTGTCATGCGGTTCTCCTCGTGGATTATCCAGAAACAGCGGCAATGAGCGACCGCTCCAATTCTCGCGCTCGGGCCATGCTGACCAATTGCGGTTAGGCGATGCTCGTTCTCGATAGGTGGCTATCCCCTTTTCCGATGCGATGACCGTTCGGCACGAGAACGAGACATGTGTCCAAAAGTCTCTGGGTCCGATCTATTTTCCAAATCTGTTCTCCTGATGCGAATTCCAAGTGCAGAAAGCGTGCATAGTTTAGGTCGATATAATTTACAATATGACATCCGAGGACGACGATGCTGAGCGCGAGCCCAAAGGTCAAAGCATCTCATCAATATTCCTGGACAAAGCGGGTTGACGGTCGTCACTGTCCTTGATGATAATCTGAGAACTACGCGCAGATCAAAGCATGATAGTGCGGATCTAAGCATGGCGATAATCAAATGGTCAGCACGACGCGGATCACCGCTGGGTTCAAGGAACGCACATTTTTGGTGACTATGGAGCTGTTTCGGAGAAGGGCATTGAAAGCGAATCGCCATTGGATATATACATAGAATGCGGGCCAAGGGTGCACGGTGGGATGATGCCAAGGAACGATACAGTTTTGACGGATGATTACGAGCGGTCGCCACGCGATAGGTTACGATGGAGGGTGGAAGGATGATGGTACAGCAGGGCGCGCGGAGAGAAACAAAGGAGCGGAAAAGCACGTAAATAACGCATAAACAGAGGAAGACATAGACACAGCAAAAAAGAAATGATAGAAAGGAAAGGAAACGAGGGACGAGGCCTCAGATCAACGCGGCTCCAGCGAGGTTTGATCGCAGGACGATGCTGCAGTGTGATATTGAGCATACAAGGATGCAGCCAGAAGTCGAGAGAAAACGGAGCAGGGGCGGAGGTGGACATAGAATCGGAAACACTCACTCTACAACCGACCAGTCAGCACAAATCAATGATAGAAAACTGGTCAGACACGCACCTTCAACTGCAGCCATCACCACTCTTAGCAACTCCGTATCTGTCGCTGTCGTCACGCTGTGCATTGTAGATGAGTACAGGGGAGGCGATGGCCACCCCCAAGCGGAAGTTTCCTTTTTAGGATAACCCCACTCACTGCATGTATACTTCCCGCTCCTTAGCACGGCCAGCCTTCTGAGCTAATCGCCCGAAGCGCTTCTTGAAATAGTCTCGCCCTTGACTGGCGTCGCCGGGCCTACCATCGAAGTCCTGATGCGATGCCGATGTGAGACAAGATTCGGACAGCGGAATACGACCACGGACCGGGAAATATGTCTTGATGTCGGAAGTTTGGATCTTTCTCTCAAACAGGTCGTCCTTGTTGAGGAACAAGATCTGGGTGATATGTCAGCATGAAGCGAAAGGCACGGAACGAAGCGACTCACGATGGATGTTTGCTTGAACCACTGCGAGTGGCATATCGAGTCCCAAATCGTCATGGCATCTTGCATTTGGTTCTGTCATCCTAGTCAGCGTTGATGTAGAATGAGCTGAGATTAACGAACGGCATCCCGGTCCTCTATCAGACACTGGTCATATCCGCTCAAGCTGACAAGAAACAGAATGGAGGTAACGTCCTGGAAGCAGTGTATCCACTTTCGGCGCTCAGACTTCTGGCCGCCGACCTTGCGAGCACATTCATCAACGGGGCGCCGTCACATATGAAGATGGACACATACATCGACCATGAGCATCTCGTGATCTCTCAGTGAGAACGTCGTCTCTGTGATCCCGATCGTCCTCGCTCGTGCACGCACAATATCTTGTTCGTTGGGGAGGTAATTGGGATCAAAGAGTCGGTCGAGGTGAGAGAAATAGTAGTACAAGCTGGGAATTCGTTCATTGGGCGCAGCGGAATGATAAATCGGGAACGCACTTCTCGGGCACGGCGGCCTCGTTTCCACGCTTCCAACCCGTTCGCACGACCTCTTCACCCCATAGTCTTGACAACGCCTGGCATCGGTTTGTTAGTCTCCTGAAACCCAGCGTGAACCAGTGACCCTGCGCACCCCGTAGAACCGAGAAGGGAAGACCTCCCCATCCCCCAAATCTTCAGCACTCTCGACCAAAGCAATATCTTCTGCCAGCTGCGTAGGTAGGACGCCCTCCTCGTCTGGATCGGCATCTCCGTCCTGCTTCTCTGTACTATTCCGCCGTGGGGCCCACCCACGCACGAAGCCTTCTTCGTCGACATCCGTATACACTGCAGGGAGCTCGAGATCCATGTCCGGTAACGCGTCGAGAAGATACTTGAGGCCACGGGTGAGATTGTCGAAGACCAATTGCCGAAAGTGTTCTTTCTCCTATTGCACAAGCACCTGATTAGCGAGATGGCGAGGGGTCAAAAGATCTAAAGCATACCTGGGGTGAGAATGGAACCTTGTGAATCAGCCGCATTTGCTTCAAGATGGTCGATTTGCCGCTATCGCCAGACCCGAGGAGAAGGACCTGCGCCAACGGGCGTTAGTGAGGATCGTGCATATTCTATGCTCAGCAGAGAGAATGAACGGGATTTGAGACCCAGCGCCCTTTCTTCCAGGTGCTCAAGGCTCTGACAGATCATGCAGGATCCGAACGACACTTGACGTTGGGCACGCACGGCACGAAAACATGGGTGAGCGAGAAGACCGCCGTCATGATCTATATCGGAGAAAGACGCGAACGAGAACAGGATGCATAGGCAAGAACCGGAGGAGGAGGGCCTAGAGATGGAAACACACCTTTACCTGCGCCTCCATCCGCGCCTTGGCTTCCTTCATTTGCTTCTCCGCTGCCCGGTGCAGTGCGCGCTCGCGGTCCGTCACTTCTATGCCGCCAGGAACAGGGGACGAGAGGCAGCCGCCCATGTCAGCCAAGGTAGTGAAGCAGAGGTGAGAATCTGGGTGAGAGAGGGAAGCTGGTGTGCGCGTCCGAGGCGGAGGGGAGAAGCGGGAGTGGTATTGTGCGACGCCGGATGAGGGGATAATCTAGAATTCCCGCGGGCTTCCTTCGTCCGTCCTTCGGATGCGGATTTGCGTATACTCGCGGAGGAGTGCCTTCAACAGCGATGAGGTGATGGGTACGGCTGATCGCGCCGCAGTTGAGGCGAGGGTATGGAGGAAGGAAGGGAAGTACGGTAGCGAAGAAAAGTGCGCGACAGAGCGCACGGTCGAGACAATAGTGATCAAAAACTGTCCAAGGGCAAGGTGGAGCCTAGGTGGGATGATTGATCATCGGCTTCTCGGCCCCGCGCTGTCGCTAAGGTGATCGCTACGAGCCGGATTTTGAATGGGTTGCTCAGTCTCCCGCACGTTGGAGAGAGAACTAGTCCCAAAACCTAGTCACATAAATGGCTGTTACAGCAGCAAGATCATTAATGCTCGATGTACGTGAGGTCATAACAATTAAGCGGGAACGCAGCCGGAAGTAAACGTCGACCTGATGGCCTCGGCCGCCGCAGTCTACCATCCCTTATAACTGACCGTCGACCATTTTCAGCCTCGAAGGATGCTCTGTCAAAGTCGTCTGGGGGACAAGCAAAGACTCGGATTTGAGATATTAGCAGAGTGAAAACAGAGAAAGAATGAAACCGAGAGAACCCTAGTCGTGCTGCGCCGATTCCAATGCACACTCAGGAACTTGAGTCTTAGCCGACAGTTTGTAGAGTTTGTATGTTTGATGTCATGGCAGCTGAGTGTGTGGCAGTCGATGCGTTACGCACGTGAATAAAACGCGCAACAGCACTGCCCTAGAGGTCAGCCTCATGTGAAACAGAGATGAAATTGGTATGGAGGCTGAAAACGTTATGCTGATAACCGATGTCTTAATCATGGATGGCCGCTCGGCAGATATTGATCAGATGATTGACGCAATGATCAAGACCCAAGGTAGCCGACTATCGCAATATCGCAACACCGCAACATCGCAATATCGTAATATTCGAAAAGCCCAACATTCGAGATAGCATAATATTCGAGATAGCGTAGTGAGCATGTAATCACTGTAATTCACTGATCATTTTCGCGGGTCTTCTCATCCGAGAACCATGCGTACAGATCGGGACCAACAGTTTATGACTCATCGGGACCAAAGTTCGGCTCAATTTCGTCGAGAATTGCATTCAATCGGGCATGATGCTCCGGCCCTGGATGCGTGAGAAGAAAGCCCACAGATGAGAAAGTTCAGTCTCACCCAATCCGTAGCCGTTATTCACCCCGCCCATATCAACGTTCCGTCCAATGACACCATCACCACCATGAAGCTCCTTCAGGTTAGGTAAGGGTGCGATCTCGTCCTTGTACTCTGCCGCTGCATGGCTAAGGGCGTAAGCCCACCTGTCGTCTATTGTCTGATCAATATTGTGAAGCTCGTCGAGGGCCTTGAACTTGGCCAAAAGCTGTAAATAAACCTCCCAGCATGAGTTGCGATCGACTGCTGGTGATTTAATCTTCATGTAACGTTCAGCACTCACGGCCTTGTTCTGTGCATCCGATGTCGTGAGGTTGTACAGGACCGCAAACGCGTTGCCGGCCTGCGGGTAGATGCTTGTCGGGACGTCGTTCTCGCGGAACAGGCCCTCAGCGGCGTCCCACAGCAGGCTGTTGAGCGCGGTTTGCATTTTGGTTGCGTTGGCGAGGTATGTGGCGGCGAGGGAGACGTTGCCGAGATGCGTCGCCAGGTCCGTCGCGGTGACGAGCGTCTGCGACCCTCATGAGTGCAGATACACAATGAGAGAGCGCGCGACAGATGCTCACTGTTTCCGGCGCCTCCTGCCCTGCCCCAGTCATTCGAGAATGAAGACGGGACGGTCATCAGGCCCGTCGAGTCCACCTGACCTTCAAGGAAGCCGACCGCCTTGGTGTAGTTTGGCCAGACAGACTTGACGAAATCGAGGTCGCCCATATACATAGTGTTGCCGCGGTTCGGTGCAGAACCGCTTTGCACCGGTGCGCACCGTGAACTGCACCGCGGTTCAGGTTCAGGTGGCAGTGCTGAACCGCACTGAACCCGGCGGTGCAGTTCACGGTTCGGAAGATGTTGGATTTGCTTGCACCGCTGTGCACCGGTGCGCACCGGTGCGCACCGCAGTTGAAGGGTCCCAGTATTTGAGAGTTCCCGCACTGTAGTTCACAGTGGGATCCTCTCGAGAATGTGGCCGATGTTGTTGCCTGGTGGGGTGTAGGTTTTTCTCGACGTTCCCCGGTCTTCATTCTCATTGATTGTAGATGAATTCTGACAGATACTCAACCATGACTCGGGTCGCACGTGATTATCTCACTATCCAGGGTTCCGCGACTGCATCGGAGCGTGCCTTTTCCAGTAGTGCTTTGACTGGGACTAAGCATCGGAACCACCTTAGTCCGGAGATGTTCGAAGCTCGCAAACGCAAACACTTCGACGGATTTTGAAGTCGAACTTGAAGACTCTGAGACATCTAATGATCATCCTTCTGTACAGTAGTGTATTGTATTTGCATCAATATCATAATGTTATCTCTAGAACTCAGGATTTTTTTTAATTGAGAGCAGAATCCAGCAGCGGTTCGCACCGGTGCGCGTCGGTGCGAACCGCAAGTGCACCATCACTGAACCGAACCCGTGGTTCAGCGCAGGGTTCAGCCTACGGCCTGCACCGCACCGCAGGTGCGGTTCAGAGTTCAGAAAATTCGTTGTTGAACCGCACCGAACCGCACCGCGGCAACACTACATATACAAGAAGTAGTTGTGCGTCCCGATGAGCGACGACGAGATGTACTTATCGCTGCCCTGATTGTTCAGCAGCGGCCCAGAGTACTGCAGCGCGCCGGTGGTTGGCTTCTGCGTGCGGAACATCACCGTCAGCGAGTTCTTGGTCGGCTCCGTGTCGCTCAGCGCGACGAGCTCCGTGTGCGTGGAGATACCGCAGTCGCCTGATCCGTCGCGTGATTCCGAGGCTTAGATCGCGGCCCTGAGCATGAGGGATTACCTGGCCAGATGTTCCTTACAGTACAAGTGTCATCAGCGGGGATTGCAGACAGATCGTGGCCGGCCACTCTTCACCTGTCGCGTTTTGCTCCATCGACGAGGATAGGCCCAATCACGGAACCTCCCAAGGCATTGTTGGACCAGCCACCTACAAATGTCATCCCATAGTTTGAATCGGCCCAATATTCAAATCCGTGCTAAAACATACCTCCTGCGGGCCACGGCCCCTGTCGCACCATGCGGGGAGGGATTGTGTTGTTCTGCACCGTATACGTGCCTGCTAGCGGTCAGCCCCTACCCATGCCACGCTCTGCGCCATCAGACAGCGAGCGGGCGATGACGCACCGGCGTACAAGATCTTCGCCAGGAAGTCGATGTCGTGAAACCCGGGGTTAGGTGCGTAGAAGTAGCCCGGGTACGCCTTGAGATCGTCCCAGTGGGGCATAAACGTAATTGCCAGCGGGTCCGCGCTCGCACTCACAATTGTCAGGAAGCGTAACCCGCCGCACTGCTGTCCCACGGTCTGCGCCAGCAGCCCCGTGGCGAGCGGCGCGTGGAACGTCTGGATCACGTCCCAGTTCTGCAGCTGCCGGCGCAGGCTGGCACGAGTCGTCCGACTTGAGCGGGCTGATGAACTCCGCGCACTCGGTGAGCGACAGCGAGAACTGCGACTGCGCCGTCGCGTTGTTGATCGTCAGCGACAGGATCCCCCAGAACTATAGTATGGGTGTGTCAATTGACCCTCGACGGCGCTGTATCAGGGAGGCCGCGCACCTCCTTGCCCCAGTCAAATACGACGTACGAGCCGCTGCCTTGGAAGGTCGCCTGGGAGTGCGGACTCGCGACGAGCCTGCTCGTGCCGGCGACTTGGCCGCTGACCCCATCTCGAATGTTGCGCTTTTCGAATATTAAGATGTTGCGATATTGCGATATTGCGATAGTCGGCTACCTTGGGTCTTGATCATTTCGTCAATCATCTGATCAATATCTGCCGAGCGGCCATCCATGATTGAGACATCGGTTATCAGCATAACGTTTTCAGCCTCCATAAATTGGTCGGGTGAGCGGGACGATGGCCCACAGAAGCAAGGGGAAGGCGGGGCACCGCAGCCCCGAAGACCACGAGCGCAGAGAGAAGAGAAGCAGCATGATGTTGACAGCACAGATTGGCAGAGAAGCCATTGAACGGGGAAAGCCTAGACTCGCAGAGAACGGGCGAGGAAAAAAGAGACGGCGATTCAGAGGCTCACTGCAAGGCTGGAACGCTAATAAACGAAAAGCTGTCAGAGACGTAACGCGACTTGCCCTAGGGAGCTCTCCTAGTCAGTAACACGCGCTGCGGCAGCATGTCCTGGTGTATTGCTCTGAGATCGGGCGAGAGGCCGGTAGGACTCAAGAAAAGGCGGGGATTTATTTGAGTGAATTCAAGTATGCTCGGAATCGACATCGAAATAATTCATTTACGGTGCTGTGGAAGACGGGAGAACAGATACTTACGCGTCCAACATATCCATGTCACTTGCATGTGACGGGGTCACACCCTCCTTGCATGTGCATCGCGCCACCCGGCCCCAATGTAATCGGTATCGACCTCTTTCAGGTGGTCTTTGTCTCTGTCACTCGGTGGCGATCGTAAAGCTGCTTACGCGGCATCGATACGCACTGGAACTCAGCTCCGTCCTTCGCTCCGCCCTGGGGCGCCAAAAAACCACAGGCACAGCTTTCGGACGTCAACGCTCGAGCTTCGGCCGCGCTCTTCGAAGTTGGGTCGCAGGTCAAGAGCGGTGGCAGCAGCAGCACCCTCAAACAGTGTTGACGGGGTCGGGTCCGGTGGCGGTCCCGGTCCCTGGGTCCGGGGTCGGGTCCAGGTCAGGTCCGCTCGAGCTTTGAAACTGGTGGGGGTCCGCTCGAGACCGGTTCCCAATTAGGAAGTGCTTTGTAATCTTAAAATTTCTATCATTCCTTCCGAATCTCCGAAGATCGCGAACGCATCACTACGGCATCACTGCGGCATGGCTCCAAATCGCACTAAGAGCACTGGGTTGAAGGGCTGGTACTGGGATGCCTTCGAGAAAGGTCCCAAGTATAAAACCAATCAGACGAAGTACTCGGCGCTCTTAGCGTCATGGGGCGAACTTACAGCGACAAAACTCGGAACCTTCTCAATCCGGAACGGGCGCACAAGTCCCTCATTGTCCGACGACATGTCAGCGAGCAGCATCCTTGGCAACCCCGGGACCCGTCAACACTGCCCTCAAAGAGGTCGAGATCAACGCTATTGCTGTTCAGCCCGAGGCCGGCGACGTCGCCAACGGAGCCAAGCTCAGCTCGTGGCACGACGCGGCCAAGCACCTGCTCTTCCCTGCCGCCTTCCAGCTTGCATCGGCAACTGATCGTTCGAGCACAACCCGGCGCTGCGGTCCGGGCTGCCCGTGCGCACTTTCTTGGTGACTTGCACGGTGAACCGGCGCCTGACGGCAAAGGATTACGACAGGAATGTGTTCCATCTCGAATTCGACACGAGCGGCACCGGGCTCAAGTCCGCGATCGGACAAGCGCCGGGTGTGCATGGCTAGAACGACGAGAGCGAGGTGCTCGACTCCCGTGCTTCGTACGGTGTTGATCTGAGGCGTCTTGTGGCCATCCCCGTGCTTAGACCTGAGGACGAGATGCACACGCGGACGGTGTTCCAGGCGCTGCAGCAGCAGATCGACCTCTTCGGCCGCCCCCCCTCGTTCTTCATGGACCTCGCTGCGTATGCGACGAACTCCATCGACCGGCACGCGCTGCTGTTCACCGGGGCTCCGGAGGGTGCGGCGACGTTCAAAAAGGTGTCTGGGACGGACACGGTGGCGTTTGCGGACGTGTTGGGGTTGTATCCCAGCGCACGGCCGGGCATCGAGCGGCTGTGCGAGCGTGTCGGGGACATCAAGCCCCAGCACTACAGCGTTGCGAGTGCACAGAGCGTCGTCAGGGATCCTGTCGATCTGCTAGTTGTCACCGTCGAAGGGGCGAACCCAAGTGGTACGCACGCCCCGGACTTGTGTGCTGTGCTGTTGTGTGCTAATGGACATGTCTTTTTTGCAGGTTCTCCGCGATACGGACAGTGCACTCGGTATCTCGACGGGCTCAAGCTTGGACAGAAGGTCACGGTGTCGATAAAGCCCAGTGTGATGAAGGCGCGTGTTTGTCTGTGCACTTTGCATGGGCGGTTGAGCTTACCCTGAGATGCAGCCAGTAACCTGCAGCCGCTGATCATGGCCGGACTCGGTACGGGCGCCGCGCCGTTTCGGGTGTTCCTCCAGCACCGGGCGATGCTGTAGAAACAGGGCAAAACGGTCGGCCCGGTGTACTACTACTTCGGCTCGCGCCCAGTCCTAGGAGTATCTTTACGCACACCGGCAGATCATTAAAAAAAGGGAACCCAATCCTAAAATTATATTTTAAATATCAAGTTACAAAAACTGAGCTACAATAGGTAGTCCGATATCACAAGAAAAAGAGATCATCATCTGCTTCCCGTTATATCAGGGATTGCGCCTCAAAAAGAGGCACATCATTGATCAGATATCAGGCTCCATGTGCGCCTAATTTTTTTGTGTCCTTTTTTGAGAGAGATCGTCACCCATTTATATCCAATCTGTGGTGGCATGTGATATTGGCCCTGATTCCTTACAAAAAGAGGCAAAGATAAGCGCCCCGGATATCTGAGATATGGCGGTCCGATAACGGACCGCCCGGATATCTCCGATATCGGGTCACATTTTATCTATCCACCGATGCTCGGCTGCTCATCCATTGCTCGTCCGTCGATGATCCATTATTCGTATGACAAGTCATGACTACTAAGATTATAAGGAAAAGATACAAACTAACTAGTTGATAGATCGAGGACTACGCATCGGCCATCAGAGAAAGTGAAGCGCGCATAATGAGCTACAACATCATCTAGGGGTACTTTGTCTACAATATTGCTCATTGAAGAAGAGTACGTGCGCGCCGGGAAGTATGGCCAATAGCGGGCAAACGGATCACGTATCCCATGAGCCAATGGTTCTTGTCGCCGAATCCTGAAGGTGATATCAGTGCCATGAGCGATGATCGCCTCGATACTACCGGCGATTGTATGTCTCGACTTCGAAGGATAGTAGAGAACGAGACTGTTGCCAAGATGCGTCCTGGAACGAGAGAAATTGGTTCCGTTCCGTCTGTAGTGTGCACGTTCTCCATCGGTGGTTAGGGGAGGTGAGTCAGAGGGTGAATTGTAGGCTGGGAAAGTCTTCTCGAAAAGTACTTTCAGCTCCTGGAAGACTGGAGGACAATCAGGGCGACGCAGCCAACGACGAATGGCAGCTCCACGCAGGAACGAACGGGATAAGGTGCTTTCAAGTTCTCCGCCAATATGGTTGTTGGTGTTGATTCTCTGGAGCAGCCCAATGACGCGCTCGAAAGGAAAAGACCACCAAGAGATGATGGGGCCAAAGAGTATGAGAAAGTCATATATGTGGAACGCCATGTGAACATTCGGTCGCATAGCATGGGACCGGGTGTGTGGGTGGTTCGCATGGAGACCGTCGACCCATTGCTTGAGAAACACCCGATATTTGTCTGCACGCGAAGGTGTCATGGTATATCGACAGACCAGGATGACTGCGCTGAATAATGACATTGTATGGTCCAGCATCTGCAGCAGCCGCGTAGATTGTGGGTCTGAAGGATCTTGATTGCCCCAAAGGAGAACGAGGGCAATGGGGAGATAGATGGTTGAGAGGAGGCGCCATTCGGCGGCCTTGATGGTGCCCGCATTGCTGTCGCCGTAATTAGCTATGTATATTTCCCCTCCCAGATGCGATCCCGTTGCAAACGTGGATCCTGACCTCATTTCTCCACGAAATTTTACGAAAATTATATCCACATGTAGCTTAAGTTCCCCTGGACCCGGGATCCACATGGATCCATGGGTCTGAGGGGGTGGGGCTGCGCAGCAGCCCGACTATGAAGGCATCTTTTTTGGCACCCTGGAAAACTGGCGCGATGATCAGAGGATGGATCCCAACCGCAGTTGACTCAACACTCACGATTTTTTTCGCGCATTCTTACATGGACATATGGAAGATTCCACATGCTAAGTTTCATATTTATTCAACCAGCCGTTGTGGTGCAATATCGACATCTTCCTCCAGCACCATCAGAATCACCGATGCTGATTAGATGATGGATCCCAGAGGCAAACCTCCTCGAATCTATTTGCTCATTTGAGAAATTATGTACTAAAACATATGTACTATGCATCTGTCCATACGAAACAGCGGTCCCTGCGTTGTGGAGGAATGGGGAGTCAGAGCAAGGTGAGGAGACAAGAAATGATGGGAGCTGTCAACAAAGTCTGGGAGAACACAGCGAGAATCGTGGATCCCACAGTCAACTCCTGTACAACGTAAAATCCTTGCCACTTAAATCGAAGGTCAGCATGAGAAGAACATTTATCGTAACTCAAATTTGCTAGAAAGTACACCCAGAGGCCAGAATCCACACACAAGAACAGCTGACAGAGGGTGTGACGCCGTCATCACACCCTCCCACATCCTCATCTCGCACCTCACGGACGGTTTAGGCGTTCACCCCGGTCTTACTGTCAGCAAGCCAGGACGCTTGCCGACCAGAACGACTCAACAGCAGCCTCCGCATGCACCAAAATCGGAGCCGCGGCGTCACCTCACGTTTCCACATTAGGGCCATCGCTCAGACCTGCGCAAGTTGTACGAGCACCACTCGATCGAATCTACTGAATTCCGGCAACCGACAAACAGACCTAAGCATTTGAAGCCCTGGCGCACAAGAGCAGAGGAGCGAGATGGTCAAGTGGGCAACACGCAGGGAGAGGGCTTTGGGACGCTTTCCACAGGTGCGCTTCCTTTCTGCACCCATGTCCACTTGACCTCCCTCTGGGTTAGGGTTATTAGAAGTGCTCTAGGGTCGATTCCCTAGGCCAGTCCTAACCCCAGGGCAGGGTTTCCCGAGGCCTCCCTGGCCGTTTAGGGTTACGCTTGGACCAGCTTCAGGCCTGGATCGTCGAGCGGTGACTGACCGTGAGTGATCAGAGACAGGAAGTTGACCTGGAAACAAGTTACAACAATTGATCGGCAGGACATGTGACAAGATGGGAGTGAATGCCCCGCATCGGAAGTGTTCCGACACACGTGCCTGCGAGGATGCCTCTAGGGCGACAGAGGCTACGCATCGGGAGAGTCCCAATGGAGTCACCCTGGGTTTTGAAACAGACTGAAATCTGTTTTGACAAGGCAGTTCCTGCTGCGGGGTGATGATATGGAACAGGGCCATGAACGTCAGGGAGTCCACTGCCCCCTCCAAGCAGCGTGAAACGGAGAGCAAGAAAGCCAGATGGTAAAGTCTGGATGAGATAAGTAACTACCCGGACCCACGCATCGGAAAAGTCCCGATGAACGACAGCAGGCGATCTGGCGACCCCTGACTAGGGAGTAATGCAGGTCAGCACAAGACTGGAAGGCACCCAGACCCACGCATCGGAAAGGTCCCGATGAACAACAGGCGATCTGGCGACCCCTGACCTGGGGTGTTGCGCGGCAAGTCAGCACCAGATGGGGAAGGCACCCAGACCCACGCATCGGAAAGGTCCCGATGAACAGCAGCAGACAGTCTGGCGACCCTTTGCCCGGCCGCCCAGTAAGGCCAAGTCGTTTACAACCCCACACGGACGACCGGGGTGAAATTGCGGCACCATGAAAACGCGGTGGAATTGAAACCAACTAAGCCCAATCCCGACAATTCCATTACGCCAGACGGGGAAGACTGAAAGCGGGATATCACGTGCGATCATCAGTGACTCATGCCGGGGCTGATGGGTTGTGACGTGACCAACTGCTCTTGCTCTTGACCACCACCTTCCCCATTTGTCGGAGCACAGCCACAATTAACCACTCGCACCCCAGTATCGGAAGTGTCCCGACGTTCCCCCATGACGAAAAAGTTGTCGTCCACTGAAAAAAAGAAACGCAAGGAAGATCGCGCCGCGGCCAAGGCGGCCCAAAAGGCCCCCGCGGAAGAAAGCGAGTCTGAGCCACCGCCCACTCCTACACCCAAAGCGCGAGGCAAGGGCAAGGGCAAGGCCCAGGCTGGGCCTTCGACCGGAGTCCCGGCAGCAGTGAGTGACGCTGCGAAGAAGAGTAAAGGCAAGGGCAAAACGCAGGCGGCGGGGCCATCCGCCGCAGATGATCCGATACTTGGAGATCTCACTGCGACATCGGGTCAGAAGCACGTACCTCGCACATCGCGCCTCTGACAAATGAGCTCAGGGGATGACACGGCAAACCCGCGGCCACCCGCCCCAGCGCGACAGGACGAGGCTGGGTCTAGCCGAGCGCCGATCGCCAAGGCGATGCGACCGAAACCCAGGCGTAAGCTGCTTCGGACTGTAGAGACCCCACTGATTCCTGGCAGCGAAAAAGAAGGCGGCTGCCGCTCCTGCAGCCCCAGCGCAAGTGCCCGCTCAACCGGTACCGGACGAGGAACAGGGCTCTCCAATGGACGCGCGGCCAACTACACCGCAGCCGACGCCGCAGCAGCTACTGCCGTCTTCCAGCATCCCATCGACTCCGTCGGCCCCCACGCCAGCGCCGGCTGCAAGAGCCGGGAAAAGTGAGTGAACGTTGAATCGGACAGCGTCGACTGACAAGAGATAGGAAAAGCAGAAGTCGTGTTAGCCGAGCCGAACAAGAAGACCAAGCTCGACCCGCCTGCGACGGTCAAGAAACAGATGGGGATCGTCGTTGCGATGTACGGGGCTCTGGGACAACTGCTGCTCCGGTGCAGCACCCTTTTTGACGACTACGAAGAGGAGGACGGATCGATGGCGACGCCGGCATTTGTCCTGGAGCTCAGGGAGAAGGGGGTGTATCCACTTTGGGATACGAACCCTCCTGTGGGCTCGGAGTTCACGCCGGAGGAACACGCGAACATGCGTGCGGAGCTGATCGGTGTGGATCGGGACATCATCACTTGGGTTCACAAGACCGCCCGAGGGTTCGACTGGTCGCAAGCACCGGAGTTCGAACGCCTGATGATCAAGGCGTCGAAGGAAAACTGGGACTTGACGCATTTGGCACGGGTGAGTGATGGACTATGCTACGCAACCCCTGTTGACACCTTGGCAGTTTACGGAACTGGTGAAGAAATCGGAAGTAGGTGATCCTCTCGAACTATTCATGTCGGATGCGTTTCAGATGCAAGACGCGGCCAACGCCAGGGTTCCTCCTGGACAACACCACTACGGCCGGGTCAAGCAGGACATCCTGATTGACCTGTACCGCTCGTCGATCAGCTCGAGCTGGATGTCGGGGAACGCCGAGCTTTTGTTTTCAATGCTCTTCGACCGTCAAACCGACGCGCTCAAGGCCCGAGCGAGTCGAGCATTGAAGAAGGCGCACGAACGCTGGAATGACTTCTTCGCGTTCTTTCCGAAGAAGCCGGCGGGTGAAGTCTTGGTGGGGGCGGACATCGCGGCCGCGAAGTTGAGCAGTGCGGCAAAGGCCGCAGTGGCGTTCCTGAGAGGAATGGGAATGGTCCCCGTTGAAGACAGGGATCGATTCAAACTTCGCGAGATCGACGTCACCACGAAGGCGCAACTGGCCCAACACCTGGCGGGTTTCCTGCCCGAAGTCAAGACAAAGAAGGTGTCCGATGAGAACGCGAAAGCGGCTTGGGGTTGGAAGACGGAGGTGGCGGGGCGTACGCTGGGATACTTGAGCGTAGTGGCTGAGTTCAAGGGTCACGAATCATTGGAACCGGCCGAAGAGATGGCCCGCCTTGCATGTGAGTGACCAGACGCCGTACATCGGAACCACTCCGACATCCACACACTACCGGGTGGAAGACCTTTTTTCTTTTTGGCCTTTTCCTCTCCTTTTGCAGGGCCTGGTCCCGCGCATCGGAACTCTTCCGACATGTGGGGACCGCTACTGTGAAGACCTTTTTGCTGTCTCCCTAGCCCCGCGCATCGGAACCCTCACGACGTTTACTGACAATCGACAGATCTGCGCGGAAGGGCCGGCGCGACCGCCTGGGGCGTTGACCCCGAAATGGTCAGGAACCTGGACCCCGCTGTGTTTGACGAGATTGCTGGTTCGATCTGGGACGCCTCCCAAGAAGTCGCCGTCGACCATAGCAACGCCGCAGCGACCACTTTGTTCTCTGGTGAACTGGACGCCACCGCCGCGCTGATGGCGGGATTTGACAACGGCGCCCACGCGAAGTTCCAGGACTGGAACGTGGACCAGTTGATCGCGTACTGTGGCGGCTGGCCTTATTTTCTCCGAAAGCACTGGGCGCGCGACCCCCGCCAATATCAGCTTGGCACGGGTGATGTCGAAATCCCTGGGATAACCACAGTCCTCGTGCCTCACTGGCATCAAGCGGTCATGTGGGCCGGATTCAGCCGGGTCTTGGCACAACCGGCGCCAGAGAAAACGGAGGCGGCGACGGAGGCGCAGAGTTCGAGTACCACCGCGCCTGACGCAGATACGGGTGGTCGCAAACTGAGATCGTCCGTCCTCGACCGTCCCCGGGAGGACAAGTGGAGCGAGATCCCCGGTTTCCTCCTGTGCGACTCCATGGGCTTGGGCAAGACGCTCTCTGCGATCGGGTTCATTGCCGTCATGCAGCAAGCCGCAATGATGACCGAGACCGTCCAGGATGCAGACACGTCGGACGTGACGACACTCTCGGCCTGGCCCAAGCGTCTCCGCGCGGGTCGTAAGTGCGGTAATCGGAATGGGTGAGCATCCATCTGACTCGCTACAGATCTAAGCATCAACGGCAAACAATCTGTGCCCATCGGGCCGTCCCTGGTCGTCGTACCGAACAGCTTGGTACAGCAGTGGGTTACTAGTTGCCAGTCGCACTTTAACGAGCAGGTGCGCGTGATCGCGATGCCCACGGCCCAGCGGATGTGGAAAGACGCAATGGCCAAGATCCCCAAGGAGGGGAACACGACCGTTGTGGTGATTAGCTACACGGTATGCCCTCATCGGAACGCTCCCGACGATTTCACCCATTTTTCCTACAGACTCTTCGCGGAATGCATGATCTCATTTCCCGCCCTTCACGGCTGCCGTTCCAGAACGGGGAGCCCCTGCGCTCGACAGTGTACTCGCGGTTCTGGACAACGGTTGTCTTGGACGAATCGCACTCTGCCCGCAAGACCGGTAGGGTCTTTAGTGCCTGTCAGGCGCTGCTGCTGGTGGCGTTCATCAAGCTGCTGATGACGGGAACCCCCGTCATCGAAAGCCCCAGGGTAAGGCAGCTCCACATCGGCTGCAACGACGCTCATTGTACGCAGGACGTCTTCAATCAACTACGGCTTCTCCGCCCAAGCACGGGGCCCCAACACATCCTGGATCGATGCGAGCGCCTTTTGGCCGGGTCGGCGCGTCTCCAAGCCCGCGAACGCCTCAAAAACCAACAGAGCCGACTTGAATTGCAACAGTCAGCGTTGACCGCAGGCGTCGAAGGCCTGAAGCACAACGCGGACATGGGCGCGAGCATGGCGGCCCTCAAGCACGTCATGTCCCTTCAGCGAAACCTGTTGGGCAATCACGTCCTCGTGCGAGACATGGCATCCCTGCGCACAATCAAGAAAACCGTGGGTGTCGGACTGCCAGAGCTGGAGCAGCTCACCATTGTCACTCCCTCGCATGCTGACGAGATCGAGTGGGGCGACAAAGTGCTCATTCAACAAGGGACCGCCGCCGTAGCGCTGAAAGGGGCCGGGGAAGGGAAGCAGGTAACGTGTATCGGAACAGTCACGACAACGTCTGCTGAACGCCAGCCCAGTCGTTTTACCTCGAAGCTCGGAAAGTGACTTCGTTTGCCGAGGCCGCGGTGGGGAGAGTGGTGGAGACGTCCGGTGTCAACGCGTTCTGGAACAAGGACGACGCCCGCTTCTCTAAGGTCACGGCCATTGCGTTGCTCCTGGAACGAATCCTGGATTCCGGTGCCCAGTCCGTCGTGGGCACTCTGGCTCTCAAGCGCGACGTTGTACGCATGCAGGAATTAGGATTCCCACCCGCCGATCACCCTCAAGCCGCCCAATTCCTCGGCACTCTGAGTCAGGCGCAGCGCTCGAAACCGGTCACCGAAAAGGTGATCATCTTCACGTATTTCGCCATGTACATGGAGTACGTGCAGGCTTTCCTCGAGCACGTCGGGTTCCGAGTCCTGGCTATCAACGGCTCGGTCACCAAGACGGTCAAAGCCAGACAAGCCGTGATTGACCGTTTTCGGGATGGGGACTATCACGTTCTCCTGGCGACCTACAACGTCGCCAGCGTAGGACTGGAGCTTCAGATGGCGAACGTCATCATCGCTGCCGTGAGTCCCCCCCACCTAGCCTCCTAATTCAACGCACTGACTGAATTGTAACCAGGACGTGGACTGGAGCGCGATCTCGCAGGCGCAGACGCTCGGCCGGGTCTATCGGCAAGGTCAGGAGAAGAAGTGCTTTTTTTTCCAGTTGGTCGCCGAGCACACCATCGACTTCGTTCTGGCCGCCATCTCCCTGCGCAAGTCTTCGCTCTTGCACGACTTCACCACCCCCGAGCGCACCGCGGGTAAGCGTTATTCCAGCACGAGGTCCGCGCGCTCATGTCACTCCAGCTTGGGAGAAACTGCACCTGGCCTTGGAAAGTCAGCAGCAAGACGAGCACAACGAGGAGACCGCTCCCAACGGACCAGTGTGGCAGGCGCTGACGCAAGACCTGGAAGCCGCCCGCACGTTCCTGGGGCGACACAAGATCAACGTCTCCTTCGACGGCAAACGAGCGTCTCGGGCGCCCCCGAAGAGCAACGAGATGGTCGTCGACGGAGAAGATACCCCGACGGTTCTGACCGCACCCGTCTATTCGTCGACCAGCTGGGCCATCCTGGCACCCCCGAATGACCCCGCGCCTTCCACGACCGACCCCGATGTGGAGGATCTCGCGGGCATGTTGCTGGATGTTGAATGAGCGCCGGGCACCCTGTAGATTTTTCTTGTAATGTTTCAACGCTGTATATTATGTAGACCCACGTGTTAATGCGACTGCCGGCCCATGCGAGGCCCTTCACTGCTCACTTTGCTCCGAGACACGGCATCGGGAGCTTCACGATGTGCCAGGTCGACTGGTGCTTCCAACGTTAGCACCTGTCGGCCTAGAACATCGCCAGCGGCACGGACATCTGGAACCTCTCGAAGAGTCCAGAGAAAAAGACCACTAGCAGGCCACGAGCCACGCATCGGAACGGTTACGATGATATCGTGTGTCTGCCCACGGTGACTCGCCCAGTGGCAATGATCGGATCACCTAAGATGATTTGTGACCCCCTGACGCGTTCCGTCACAATCACAACTCTAACTCCGACCACCACCTGCCCAATATGGAAACGCCGCTCGCGCATCTGATTCATCTCTGTTACGGCTTGGAAACCATCAAAAGAACAAGGCGCGTCGACGTCAACACGGACATGAGCCACTTACTCCCGCCCGGGTTCCCACCAATCTGGGAATCGCAGTGTCCACCGCAGCACACTGAGTGGGAGCCGTACTGGCCGGAAATGCAGTCCAAATTAGAAGCAATATACGAGAGCCCCCCAGCCACATTTTACACCACAATTCTCACCTCCTGTCCTGGTTTCCAACGCGTCGCCGTTCAATTCCAAAGCGCCCCTGAGGAGCCGTTGACCCAAAGCGTCGGTGGGCGCCTCACGTCGTTTCACAATTCGCTGAACGTGCCACAGCTCCTCAACGCATTGTCCACACTTGGCTACAATGTCGCCACACTTGCCCGCCGCCTCGGCGCAGCACCCCGCGTCAACAATTATGCTGCAGTAAAACTGGCAGTCTTTCAGTCGGTCTTCGTTCTCAAGACCGACTTCCCCCCCCGTTGTCTCGACCTCTTCTGGGGTTGGTGGCTCTCCCGCTACCTCGAGGCGTACAAGGGCCGCCTCAGTCGTGCTCGTGATTCCATTCCTCGTCAAATCAACGCCATCGAACTCCACCTAGCTGCCACCAAGTCCACCACGGCCGCATACACTTGCCTAGTCATGCTCAAGAGTGCCGTTCGCTTGTCCCATCCTCTCCCTGTCCTGATGGCAGAACTACCCGCGCTCTGGAGCAGCCCAGACATCGCCGATCCCGACACGAAGATCTTCACCCAACTCATTCGTCTGTGTGCTCAAGTAGCCACTCGCCTCTCCAGCGTTGCCGCCCGCATGGTCCACGACGCCGCCACTGATGCTGCTCTACGCGTCCAACCTTGTAACCTGTCCCGCAGTCCGCAACTTAACGCTAACCTCGACCAGATTTCGATCATATTGAGTCGACACTAGCCGAGCAGGACGGTAACGACGAAGCCGACTCCGAAACCGATGAAATTGACATGGACGTCGTGAAAAACGAAATCCTTGCCATGCTGGTCACCCTTGACGATCCCACCGTTCCCCTTCCCCAGTCAACGATCGCAACCGTCCTTGACGGTGAGACGGCATTAGGAATCTCGGCTTGGGACGATGGTACTGGCGATATGGGCGTCGAGCAATGGAAACATTGCAACCGCGAGGAGACTATGCTCTCGCTGCGCTCCTTCGGCGTGGGAGACCAGTTCCGTGGCCTTCGCACCATCCTCACTACGCGCGTCGGAAGCGTCCCGATGGTTCCTCAGTGGCATCAGCTGCAGGGACTCCTGGCGATACTCACCCGCACGAAATCTAACGGCAATGAGCCTACCTCTGTTCCCAGCTGCGTCCTGCTCGCCGACAACATGGGTCTAGGTAAGACGCTCACCTGTATGCTGACCATTCTGGTCCACGCCCACCTTGGCTCCACCGGACGTGAGCGCTAAATCGGGACGATTCCGACGCTGGAGGCTGATCATCTCCAATCCTAGTACCGCGCTACGCCCAGCGCCACCTGGTCCTGTGCCCTCCCACTCTTGTAGCCCAATGGCGAGACGAAATCGACCTGTTCCTGGACGGTACCCTCTCAACCTACGTCATCGGCAGCGTCCAAGAAGACTGGACGGCAGAGATTAAAATGATCCATGAAAGCCCAGTGCCGCTGCACGATCAAATCGTTCTCACCTCGCATAACGTGCGTCAACCCTGTCCGTTACACACGGCGCTTTAACCCTACTCAGGTCCTCACTCGCATGGCGGCGGAGTCGATTCGGCTTGCTCCTGACGGCCGATGCAAACCTTACCCGACCGGCTTATGGAAAAAGAATAGCCTCTATCGGTGGTCCTTTTCGACCGTCGTGGTCGATGAAGCCCACAACGCGCGGAACGAAGGTTTCCTCAACCGCGCCATCGACGCGATCATCGGGTTGACCCAAGTCGGCATTTTGTGCACCGGCACCCCATGTGTGGAAAGGCTGCAGGTATGCCTGGTCCTCGGGTTAGGGTTAGGGTTAGGGTTAGGGTTAGGGTT